GCCAGAGCCGGTCCTGGTCACAATAACAATTCCTTTAGAGGACTGAGGCTAATCAGACCTCTACCATATTGCTGAAGTAATATTTTGATGGCCAGAATCCCAAATATTAAGTGAAAAATTGATGAAAATGAAAAGCCTATTCTATACACTATGAGGCCTCTATCCCTAATCTAGAGAGGATAGATTAAAACTTTTAATTACCTAGCAGTTTATTTAAAAAAATATGTAGAAAGATTTGGAGGCCTCCAAGATTTTGTATCTAAGAAGAGCTATGAGCAAAGAAATCAGTTTTTGCTGTTACGTGAGTAGCTGACTTGAAGGCTGACCTTGTTAATTTATGCAGTGCTATCATGGCGCTTCATAAAATAAAAAATGACTCAAAGGTTTAGCGTATTTAGTGATGAATAACAAGCTTCAATTTAGATTTATGAGTGTTGTGCCTCACTATAGTTTTTGTTGAAGGGATCATGGCCCTGAGACCTACCCTCCACCCCACCCAAATAATACTAATAACTAAGAATTATTTTTAACAAGTGACTTAAAATTCCCAGGCAATATAGTTAACATTTTAGGGAGGCTCCATTATAAAAGGCAATGGGGACTGTGAAGTAATCAAGAAGGATCCGGATCCAATAGGCTAAAGTTGTCAACCTCAAAACAGAAGGGTGGAGGAAGTCAGGCTCACGTGGAAAATAATTGAAGAATTAGGACAACGGATCCTGAGGGTGTAGCAGTATTAAATTATTTACACTTTGATTACTTCATTTGCCTGAATATAAAACAAAAGCAGAGTCACTAAAATAGAATGATCTTCACTTAATAAGTGACAGCTTCTAGACACATATATAGGCCAAAAGTATTGGATTCTGTTTAAATATAACTGTTGACTAACACTGAAATTGGTGAGTCTGGCCAACCAGCAACCAACCCCTTTTCTCTCTCAATGACAATCCACTGATACATTCCTACTTGGAACAGACTGTATTCAGAATTATTTTTCAGTAAGCATGGTTCATGGCACTTAGCCTTCTCCTCTCACCAACAATTTTTGTGGACATTTTTGTTATGTTTGAGACTCGATGACCTTTCAAGGTCCCTTTCAGTTCTAGGAGATGGGATATCTCCACTAATTAATTAATTAATTTGTTCAGCCTATATATCCTAGATATCAGAGCAAAAAAATTGTTTCTTAAAACCGTCTTATACAACTCTAGTTAGAACAATTCACACATGTAATTTAAAATACTTGATTTTCATATTAAAAAAGGACAATGAAATCAAGTTTTTAACTCTAGTAATGTTTGTTCCTTTAGAATTTACTAGAGGATTCCCCCTCCAATTCAGTTTCTTTTGGCTCTTACACCCAATGGCTAACATGACCATTTGGACTTCATTCTGAGTTACTACTACCCTTGCTAGCCTGTCTTCATCATTTCCAAATATTGGTCAGCGTTTATTAATTCTCCCTAAAGTTTTGAAGAAGAAAAACAAACAAACAATCACAACAGCCTACTCACTGGGATGGTTGGAGTTTTCAATACTGGTTGTGCCGGTAGAGCCTCTGACTCTGGCTGGTTCCAGTGCCTAGCATTATACACAGCTTTTGTTGGAGACTGAAAAATAAAATAATTGCTTGTTATATCTTAATAGAAATGTAGCACTATCAGTGAATATTTTACCAACAAAAAAATCTCATTTCTTAACATTTTATACCTGTTAATATCGTTTAGTTTTTTTTAAAAAATTGTTTCAAGATTAACTTACCTCTTTTCCTCATGTTCTCACTGTAACATCACAGGAATTTTACTTTAAATTAAGTTCCTTTTCAATACAAATTACTTGACATGGCTTTAACCTGATTTGACCCCAACCATTCTAATTTTAAGAATGATAGGTAACATTCATTTCATGTTTTCAGGTGTAAAACCATGAATTTATGAAGAACATAACATACATATTTCAAAGTGAATATCCTGATGATGTCTACATTAAAGCTTCTTTTAATTAAAATAATTTTCAGCATTCCTACTGACTTATATTAGATAAACTTATCTGTTATACCATTCCAGCCGAAATATACACTGAAGATTTGATTAAAAATGTAAAGCCAACATACTTGGATTTTGTCATTTATCTTAAATTCATGTATTTCATTTGAGAATTTCTCTTATCCCATTGGTACAGCCACATGTTAAAATAGTTAGCAGAATTCTTTTTAACTGCTGCCCATACATGTGTCAGGACAAACCAAAAAAGATACATAAAAATGAAATTTTCCTCAGTAGTTTAATGAAAAAAGCTCAACACATGAAATAGCAGTTAAGGATAAATATACTAATATGATTTCTTTTACATATGCCTGGAAATCTGATTCATAAACGTAATTCAAGCAATAAACTACATATTCTATTTTTCCGTTAGATAAGCCCCCACTAATCATGTGAAGTAGCTTTTTCTACTATTATAATATATTTTTCTAAAAATTAAAACTATTTTTAACATTTAAAAAGGACCAAAAAGGGAAGCCGTGCACAAGAAAAAAAGTCTTGTGCCAAAAAGTAATGTAAACCTATGCCTAAAAACCCTATTCTTATTGGACTATGCATCCTCTCTTTGAAGGTGTAGTAAACATGACATTATGTACATTGGTAGGTTTCCTATCATCATAAATTTAAAAAGAGTTTTGGGGAGGTCAGGAACAATGTTAACCTCATGTCAGAAGTGGAATTTCTATTGTGTGTCATGTACACCAATTAGCTGTATACTGTTAAACATTTGTACAGCACCACAATTTTTCACTGCTCTTTAGAGAAGAGAAAGATGGCTCCTGCCCCACAGAACTTACAATATAAATGAAACACAAAATGAAGACAGAAAAAAAAAAGGATTAAGAAAAAAAGAGGAACAATAGCTGAAACTAGGGCTCCACTTATGTGATTAAAGGTATGTCTACATTGCAATTAGACACACACAGCTGACCCGTGCCAGCTGACTCAGGCTCACAGGACTTGCCCTGCTGGGTTATTTAATTGTGGTGTAGATGTTCCGACTCAAGCTGCAGCATGAGCTCTGGGACTCAAACATCTACACTGCAGTTAAACAGCCTGAGCTGAGTCAGCTGGCACAGGCTAGCCATGGGTGTCTAACTGCAGTGTAGACATACCCAAGATGGCCACATTAGTTGCCTCAGAAAAAAGGTTTGTTCCTCAGTGGGGATAAATTTAGTGAGAATGGAAAGGACAACATTTATTAATAGGAGACATGAAAAATGAAGGAGAGAGGTATTCACCCTGTAAGATTCAGCTTTCAGAATCTTGATCCCTTCTTGGCCCAGCTGCTGGTCAGGGGGGCACTGTCCAGGAATTTTCTTAGTGAGTCTATTTTCTCTGAAATCTGTCAATTTCAGGGTACGTCTATACTACCTGCTGGATCGGCAGGTAGTGTTCGATGTACCGGGGATAGATTTATCGCGTCTTGTCTAGACACAATAAATCGATCCCCAAATCGACGGCTATACTCCACCTGGGCAGGAGGAGTAAGCGGAGTCGAAGGGGGAGCCACTGTGGTCAACTCGCTGCCGTGAGGATGGCCAGTTAAGTCAAACTAAGATACTTCGACTTCAGCAACGTGAATAGCGTAGCTGAAGTTGCGTATCTTAGTTCGAACCCCCCTCCCCCTCCCCACTATTGTAGCCCAGGCCTCAGATATCTAAAGCTTCATGCCCTCACCCCTCTAACTCTCAGAAGGGAGGAGCTTAGTCTTTTCCCTCCTGCAAAGCCTTTTTACTGCCTCATGGGGAATATACCCAAGCCTGTTTTGGGGGGTATGAATAATTCCAATGATCCACTGCCACTGCTTGCAGCCTTCATTAGCAGCAGATAAGCTTGAAATTTACATAACTCCTCCTGACGGTTTCAGTGGTGCACAAAGGTTCTGAATGAAGCAGTCAAACTGACGCTCCTTCCAACTTCATACTGTTACTTCTTGTTACTTATTACTAGAGATGTCTGCCTGCAGACTCTGACAACACTGCACCAGTTCATATTTGGAAAGCTACTTTTTCAACTATGGAGTTTTAAAAAAATGAAATCCTATGCTGCAGATATTGACATACAGTTCCATTCTTTCCAATGAAAGCTTCCCATTAGACCAGGGGTGGGCAAACTTTTTGGCCCGAGGGCCATATCTGGGTGGGGAAATTGCTTGCAGGGCCATAAATGTAGGGCTGGGGCAGGGAGGGAGTGCGGCGTGCAGGAGGAGGTGCGGCAGGGCAAAGGGTTGGGGCAGAGGAGAGGTGTGGGTTTTACGAGGGGGCTCAGGGAAGGGGGTTGGAGTGCAGGAGAGGGTGCACAGTGCGGGAGGGGGCTCAGGGCAGTGCTGCAGGGAGGGGTGCGGAGTGCAGGAGGGGGCTCAAGGCAAAGGTGCAAGAGGGGTGTGGCAAGGGGCTCAAGGCAGGGAGTTGGTGCAGGGTGCAGGAGGGGTTTGGAGTCCGGCCCGGCTTCCCTGGAGTGGCTCCAGGGTGGCAGCGGCACACACCAGAGCCAGGGCAGGTTCCCTGTCTGCCTGCCCTGGCCCTGGCAAACCCACGGGCCGGATCCAAAGCCCTGAGGGGCTGGATCCAGCCCCCGGGCCATAGTTTGCCTACCCCTGAATTAGACCCTGGTAAACTGAACTTTCAAATCCTGGAATTTAATATCTAGGAAAATGGAGCCCAATAACAAACACACACTGCTTTATACTGACCAAAACTAGTGTTTCTAAAGAACCAATAAAATTCATTCACAGTTTCGGGTCTTATTTTTAAGATCACAATCAAATATCAGTTTGTTAAAAGTAGCCCCATTTAAGTAAATAATTTTCTGTATACTAAAAAAATTGGACATTTTCTGGAGATTTAAGTTAAAGTGAAGTGGGTACTCCTAAAAAATAAGTGATTATTTGGCACTTGCCAGGAGATGTGGAAGATTTTCTTTCACCTCTAACTCAATCCTGACATGTAATCCCCTATATTTCCAATTCTGCATTTCTGAAATTTGGACTACTAATCAAGACATGAGGATGTCGTTAATTGATGTATAGTAGTCCTCAAGTAACCTCAATACGGCCAAACTGTCATTTGTGACTGAAGAAATGTGAGATATAGTTTCCTAGATTCAAATCTACAGACCTGACTTAAAAAAAAAAAAAAACCACACACTTCAGTACAGAATGTACTTAAAGTCAATTTTATCTTAGAATTGGAGAAGGAAAGTGCACGATTCTGCATAACTTTGCAAGAGTGGTCTTAATTTACAGAACAACAGCACTGCACATAAACATGTTAAGAAACACTCTGATTACCCAGATGAAGTTTCTTGAAGTGTTTGTGTAAAACTCTGTTAATGCCTTTCCATTAATGAAACCTAGGGACAAAAGTTACAAATTGTAGAAAGGACTACTATAAAATGGCTACCCTAAAGCAAAAGAAAAGATTGATTGAAATGGTCTCCCATCAAGGAGTCTGAACTTGAACTGAAAGATGTATTGTTCAAATTTTCCCATCATGGACCATAGCTGCCTCCTAAACTACCTCCCACCTCAACTTCTAAATAATCCCATTTGTGATGACATACCTTACCTATGGTAACTCTAGTACTTCATTAAATCTGTGCATTTATCCAACTAATTTCTTCACCCCCAGATCCCTTCAGTTCCTGGTCCAGATTACTGTGTGCCATGTTAGCTCTACACAGTTCAGCAGAAGCAGTGATCCAAGTACATTCACTCCTGCATATTGCTTCAACTCTGCTGTCCAGAGCCCCATTTTCGAGTGAAATACTTTTTGTCAGCTGTTGATTCCAGTTCTGCTGGTGCTTTAGATCCTCTCTTAACCCTTATATAACTGAAGCAATCCTAGTGGAAGCTACCATGTTTTCTCCCTCTTAGCCACTGCTTCTACAGGGATATGGGCTCTTCCTTGTGACAGAGCAAGGATAACTGAAGAATCAGCTGTGAAGAAGTTATGAGTGATCACCAAGTGACCAGTAAGTACCAGGCCAACTACCATTTTGGAGATTTGTTTTATGTTAGTCTATAGCATAACTGGAGTTGAGAAACAGACCACTTAAATGCAAACAAACAATGTTGCTAAGGCAAGCCTATCTTAAAAGGACTGATCAAGCAAAGAAAAACCTCACCTGCTCAAACAGTTCAAAATGCCAGATTTCTCAGAAAAGTCTTGTTACAACACTGACTTTTTTTGGGGTGGGGTGGGGAGCGCAGTGGTAATTTGTGAATTTGTTCCAATTTCCCCCCAAAATAGAACACGCAATCTTTATAACAAATCCATATGGATTACAGGATCACAAAGTGATTAACCTATAATTTTTTCAATTTTCTTACACGAAGGATACTACAAAACCTATTGATATCTAAAATGAGTTAAAGTGACAGCATTGTAATATATTTCCTATCTCACTGATTTCATCTGCATTACTGCCTGAATTTGTCTCATGTATAAAAACTAGATTGGGATTTTGGGGTGCTATAAAATAATGACCTCGACTGAGATTTATAAAGAAAGCTTAGTGTTGCGTAACGGGAAATTCACTGTTTCACTGTCATTTTTGCAATG